AACAAAGCCGCTGTCCCCCCACAGAGCCCCGCGGCACCAGTCATGGGTGGGAAGGATGCTTTTGTCCCCACCAGGCGCTTTGTGCCCAGTGCTGGGGTGCAGCTGGGGGCCCCCCCTCTTTCAGCATCTCCTTGTGTGACCCCATGGGACTTGGCTGGGGGAGTTGCTCTTGATGGCAAATGAGGTGGGGAATTGATTCATCTGAAACGAGAGCTCATGGGAAAGAGCGAGAGGAATTTACAGCTCCCCCAGCAAGGGCTGACATATCCTGATGGTGCTCGGCTGGGATTCCGGGGCTCTGGAGACCTGTCCCCTCCCATTGCAAGTGCCTGGCTCCACTCCCCCCACAGCTTAAATCCTGGCCCAGGAGGTGGAGGGGGCCTGGTGTGGGGTCAGTGAAGGATGGAGCCATGAGGATGGTGGCTTTGTCCGGTCAGGATGGAGCTGGAGAGGGGCAGGGAGGGGATCTCCTGCTGCACCACCACAGCAGCCCCCAGTGTGGCTTTTGGTACCCTCATCCCGTAACAACACCAGGATCAGCGTTCTCAGTCCCATGTTGGGGGAGTTGATGACATTAACCCTCCCTCCCACTGCTGGTTCTGCTCACGTGCGATGGGACAAGATTTACCTGCTCATACGATGCTCTTGACTTCCCCGGCACCAGGAGGACTCAGAGCCTGACCTGAACCTCTGCTTTGTGCTTTGCCTTGTCCTCACTTACAGCAAAGCTTCCCCAGGGCAAGAGGGGTGCATGAAGGCATCTGGCAGCAGGACGGAGAGGGAAGGCAAAGCACCTGCAAGTGCTGGTACCCATCCCGGGGTGGGATGACATCCCAGAGGCATCCCTCCTACCTACTCCATCACACCCCAAGCCCGCAGGTCCACAACCCTGTAGCTCTATGAAATCCTTAAATCCTCCAGCAGTTTCCTCAGGGAATTAACCCCTCTGAGTCCATCTGAGTGGCCTCATGGGGACCGAGTGAGTGTGGAATGGGGACATTTCCTTTGGTTGCATCTCCTTGCCAGGCTCGGGATGATGCTGGGAATGCTGCAGTGTCCGGGAAGGGTGATGGGATGCTCGGAGCATCTTGCCCTGGACACCCTTGTCCTGTTTCCTCCTATGTTTGCTCCTGAAGCTTCAATATGAAATAATAGAGAAGCAGAGCCTGGATCAGGATGGGATTTGAGCTGATGAGACCTCGGTGTCACCTTCCTTCGCTGGGTTATTTAACACCCTGTGTCATCTTTCAGGGCGAGCCGGGCAGTAACCTTTGTGCTGAGCCCTAGTTCATTAGAGCAAACAAGTTGTTAGGATGGAAATAGCGGATTAGCTCAGTTGGGAAAATAAAGTAGGGCTGGAGATAGTGAGGAGAGGGGAAAAGTCACTTACCCAGCCCTTTCTGTGCCATGCTAGGACTGGGTCTGGCTAACGGGGGGTTATTGCAGCACCAAAGGGATGGAGGCGGTACCTCTGTAATGGTCACTCCCTGTGCCCCTGTTGTTGGTGCACTTGGAGCTCCTTTTGGCTCAATGAGGGTCCCTCAGGGTCCTGGGGGGAATCTGCATTGATCTGGAGGTGCAGTTATCCCCCAAACCCAGTGCCCGCATGAGGATGAACCTGAGCTGGGCTTACACAATGATGCTTCTGGAGGAGTCAGAATCAGTCATGGAATCAGCCAGGTTGGAAAAGAGCTTCAAGACCATCGAGTTTAACCTTTATCCCGGCATTCCCAAGGCCACAACTAACCCCTGGCACTGAGGGCGTTGT